GCCGACCCAACTACACCACCACGCGCATGCCTCGCGGCGGATATGCGCAGCAGCAAGAAGGTTTCGGTCATCCCTTGAGGGTGAGTCTAGCCCTGCTCGCCAGAAAGACCCCCCCCTTCACTACAACCCATGTCTAAGCAAAAGCTTGTCGAGGAGCGAGGGGAAGAAGGGAGAAGCCTATGCACACCCCTAATCCCTAGCCCCCCCCCCCCGAACGCCACTTGTGGAACGCCACCATATCACCTTCCGCATTTCTCGCGCGGTTGAGCTTTGTTTACAGATGTCAAGAGCTTCGCTGCACAACCAGAGAGACGGAGAGAAAGAGAGAGAGCGGGTGAGGTGGCTTTGCGCGTCGACCACATTCCTCTTAGACTGCCTTGCCCGCCAGTCGCCATCAACGAACAGACACTCAAGGCACGCGCAAGACTTTGTGCGCAGATCGTGTACGTGTTGCATGGTAGATGGTAGACCTTTGCATGCAACCAGAGGTCGCCAGGCAGGATACAGCAGAGACGGGCTGGCTTGCTTGAATTGAGCTTACCACGGGCTTCGAGAGCGTCGACAGTCGACAGCAGCGGCCGACGATGGCTGCCCAAGCGTCGTGCCCCGGCAGAGCAGGGCCAACGCCCGCAACGAGCAACAGCTTCAGGCGGATGAGACGTGTGCAATCATCACCATCGCGGCGACCTGGGAGTTCGCTGGCTTTCATGGGACTGCTGTCCTATTTGGCGTGGCTTGGGAGCAGCGGGGGGGGGGGCGGGGCGAGGGCTTCGTGGATAGACCCCGACACCCTTCCAGAGCACCGCACGAAAGTCTTCGAAGGAGACGATAGGCAATTCGACCTGGTCTTTAGCGATGAGTTCGACAGGTAATGCGTTGAACGATCCGCGTGCTGAGGTGTTGTCGTTGATTGAAAATGAGCTCCAATCTCCGTGAACATGTGTTGGAACGCAACACGCATAGGATGTCCGCTGGTTGGATGGAGAGTTTGTGTCTGCCTGATGGAAAGTGCGATGCGTTCACGTAGGTAGAGGAGCGGTGTGGTAGGGTATGTGGGCAAAATAGGCACGCGCTACCCGGGTGGCTTGCAACACAACCCTGTTGATACAAGTACGGAGATGCCCTCATGCGCGGCAAGTCTTTTCGAGCAACAAACCACCACCACTGGGTTGCCACAGCAGCAGTTGGCCCTTGAACCTCGCACGTGCATGCATCGCGAGTCTTGGCCCGACAGACGACTTTGCCACCCCCTGTTGCGGTGGTGCACGTATAGCCACAGCAGGACCAGCAGTGGGCTCCGGCACACCACACACACGCAATTTGTCGCCGCTGCTGTAGCCGAGATATGTTGCACCGCATCGAAGAGCGGCGCGTCGACGCACGTGCTGTGCTGGCAATTTACTGTTTTGGCTCTACTTCAGTATAGTACTGTGCACATGTTTCTTAGGACACGTATCCATCCACCGGCAGTAATGGAGGTTTGGTGGACGCTACGTGCTCGCAACTTGAACGAGATAACCCTCTGCTCTTGAGAAGAGCAGGAAACTGGAAATTGGCACAGCTGCTGTTACGCACTTCGACCGGTGGGGAAGATCTGGGACCATCAAGTCTTCCTTTCCGGCGGAGAGAAAGCTCAGCCCCCGCTCCTTGCCATCTAGACTCTCTCCTCCTCCGCAGAAGCTCGCAGTGTCTGTGCGCGTTTGCGCCTTAAGGCAGGCATACCTGCCTTATACCTTCATCAGAGTCGGTGTGTACGTGTGTACACTCACGGTACATGACGGAATGTGACGTTCTCTTGTCCATCGCAGCACAAAGGCCGTTCATGTGCTCTTTTGTGGCCTTCGCCGAAAGCTAGGAAGGCGGTGGGTGGGGATCGGTCCGGTTATTTCGTGAAGGCCGTTCACACCTATAAACATGTTTGGTGTTCTTCGCCGTTCCTAACACCGCCTTGATTCGCGCTACATATCTACACGTGGAAGTCCAACCTACACTCCCAATCGTTGGCTCTGGTATTGTTCCATACCAACACAACTGCTAAAAAGAGTAAAGAGTAAGCCAGCATCTCTTGCGTGATACAAACCAGGTACACGTAGTCTCTGCCAATAATTTCACTGTGCTGGTTTCGTATGGACTGGTATGCGTCCGTCGTCATTCCCTTTGAAGCAACATGATGTGGGGAATGCGGTGTGTTCATACTCGTGTTTTAATTGGTTGATCGCCGGCCGTGTATGCCAATGCAGAGAGGGCAGGACTTTCAACGACGGGCGCGATCCTAGATGGATGGCCATGCACAAGAACGACTACACCAACGCCGCGCTTCAGTTCTACAGCCACGATATGGTGAGAAGTCAACAAGGAGTCGTCGTTTGCTTCCCGTGGAAAACAAGTTGGCGCGTGTTGCACTGTTGTAGGTCCCATGCTTGTGCAACCTGCGTGTATTGACTGGTCTAATGTGGGAGGAACGTTCCCTCTCGTCGTTGGTGTTGAATGGTTTGTTGTGGTGAGCGTTGATCATTTTGTTTTTGCTCTCCCACCGGAGGCAGGAATGAATCATGCTCTCCGTTTTCGAACAGAGGTGCGCGTTCATCAATGATCTACTATGCCTGTACAGGCTTGCAAAACTGGCCCTCAGTTAAGAAATTTAAGTACTTCGTTGAGAAACAGAGGCTCAAGTTTTCACGAAAAATATGAAAACAGGCTCATGAAACAGGATTCAGCGGTGGATCCTAGGCTAAGCCCACGAAAAATATGAAAACAGGCTCATGAAACAGGGTTCAGGGGTGGATCCTAGGCTAAGCCCTATTCAACAACCTGTGCTCAACAGCAGTGGCGATGAAGTAAACAACGGAGCCTCTCGAGCCGACTTCGGCCTTTCGTTCTACGAGCCGAAGTCGTTCGTTTTGTAGTGAAGGGTAACGCCCGAGGAGTAGCTTCCTTTTCACCCGGGTGTACCCACGCGACAGACGAGGCGCGTTGGCAACAGAGCCTCGCGAAGTCGGTGACCGGGCTGTCCACTCGAGTAACCGTCATTCGAGAAGGTACATGCGACAACGAACGGCGGCAGCACTGTTTGTCGGTAGTACAAGTGTGTCGTCTTTCTCGGCTTTATCAGCAACGAGAGAAACAATTTTCGTCGATGACGAAGGTGGAAGTGTCTTGTGTGAGACACAAAACCGCCTTGAGCGGCTGTGGAGAACCAATTGGCCAAGCCCAGCAACACAACGACGCGACGTACGTACCGACAGTAGCGCTCGTTGACGGCACGCCGAAAGGGCATCGATGGCTTTCCCGCGTGCATGCAACAAGGCTCAAGGGGTCTACGATGCAAGTGTTTGATTCGACGCTGTTCCGTTTGGCCTGGCCAGTGCGAAACCCGGGACGGAGCGTTGGTGATCACCACCAACAATACGGATGTGGAGTTCCAGTACTACGACACCCCCCACAAGAAGTACAAGAGCATGGCGAAGACCTACGTCAGCGGAATGTTGCAGGTGCAGAAAAGGACGTTGAATCATGGACAAGCATTGTACCGCTCGGCCCTGTTTTTGCATGAATGAACCATGACCGCTGTGATAAAATGTACAGCATATCCACCGTGCTGTACATCTATAATAGCAGCTACCCCCGGTCCCGGTGCACGCCACCATCGTGCGATCCAAGCATGAGAGGTTTTTCTCCTCGAGATTTCCTTGCGTCTGTTGTCATGTAGAACACACGGAAGCCATTTTTTTGGGCTGTCCGTCTACTTCCGTGTTCTCTTGTGCCGCGAAATCTTCTCTTGCCCTGTTTTTCCAACAAGCCATTTCAAAGTTTTTTGTTCGTTTTCCCAAGGTCAAGGCGTCCACGTCAGTTGAACCGGTATGGGCGTGTGATTATACTGAGAGAGCCAGAGACCGGCTTCAAGGTTGATTCAAAGGCAACAGCAAATACCGTTGTTGCGAAGGCGAAAACAAGTGCACCTCTCATTATCTGGCCTCTGTCACCGTCATCGCCATCGTTATCGATATCGTCGTGGGTGTCCTCGCCCGTGCTGACTCCATAGTCGTGGGACAAGTTTTGCTTCACGGGGGGGATCGTGGAGATCAGGGCCATCTTGCCCGGCCGGCCGGACATCGGGGGCTTGTGGCCAGCAATGTGGCTAATGGGAAACCTGGCGAGGGCAACGTACACGGCGTCTTCGGACTTCACGTGGCCGTGGAGCTACAACAAGTGCAACAGGACAACTGATGAGCAAGCGTAAGTTGGTTACCAGTAGCTAGGTGGATGCCGGATGCCGCTATCATCGTTGTATTGCTTACCTGAAGATGGGGGTCGTTGCGATGCCTCCGCCTGCACCCTTCATCACCTCCGTGGTTTCCACTCTAGCCGAAGGCACATGCTCCATTTACATGTAGCCTAAGAAAGGTACATTGGAGGCGTTGAAAATTTGAGAAACATGTCCTTGTTCTTTGCGGTTGTAACCATTGTCGATGGACAACTCAGAAAGTTTGTGGCTGTTTTAGATTTTGTTGTTGGTTGCTGGTGGTCTTTCGGTTTCAAGAGGACGCATATTTTGTAATTCTTGTTTCTGCCTTGTTTCTGACTGTACCGCGGTATCGAGGTTTTTGGTCCACAACAATCCCTTGTCTGCAAATAACGTGGGAGAGGAGAGTGCGTGTTCCACCAGAGCCAGTGTCAGCTAGTCGGCGTGGCGCTATTAATAGTGTAGTTGTCATCAAATCGTTTTGCTTGTTTTTCATCTCCTTATCAACCGTTCATTTTGCGCTGGTGTGTGTACCATCTTGTTAGCGATCGGCACAAACAAAGGGGGTCTATCTCCATCTTCCCTTTCGGCGATAAGCCGTACAGACCTTACGCTGCTAGTGCATCACAGCAGTGCAGATCGTACCACTTACCCAGATCACATGGACTTTGCTGAGCCTTGACGTGTGAGCGTGCGACGGCTCTGGTGCACGATGTTGGCACTCTGGATGCGTACTGAATGCATCAACATCCCGTCCGTCCTCTTTCGCTTCCGTAGTCGCGTTGATGTTCCTTGATGTGACGCCACTGCACAGAAACAGCCAAGAGATTCGGTCGACGAGAAGCTTTCGCGTGAACCGGGAAGTACCCCTTCATTTGCTTCATTGAACCGATGTCTTTGAGGAGCGTTTCAGTTTTTATTGCCTCGTCAGTCCCCCCCGCTCCCCCCGTCACCTTGCTTCTCATGGAAGAGCCACGAGAATACGGTGGCTGTCTGTACTGGGGCATACGAAGTGGGCTGAAAACCTATCGCTTGGACAGATGGGCTATGGAAAATCAGTCTCGAGCCACCGTTGGCGAAGTAGGGAGGAATGATTGGCCGTCGGTGATAGATTGGTCCTTAAGGAGTAAGGGCTCCTGTAAGGGCTCCAATGCTCCGTTCTCTTGGGGACAAGTGGTCAATGGTGAAATGGTGTAACACCTGCCAACATGAGTACCCCTCCCCTGTCGGTATGTTTTGCACTGTAACAGCGACTGGCAGAGGCAGCAGGAGGTATCGGCCTGCGACGCCTCGGTGCACTATGGGTTCCACCCCAACACCGGACGCGGGGCCCCCGAGATTGACCTCCTCGAGACCATGGCAGGGACTGGCCCAGGAGTGAGCTGACCAGACTGTATGCATAGGGATATACGGATTTTTTTCTATGGCCTTTTCTATGTGTCTCTCTCTCCCCCTCTGTGTGTTTGCCTCTCTGTCTCTCTCTCTCTCCCTCTCTCTCTCTCTCTCTCTCTCTCTCTCTCTCTCTCTCTCTCTCTCTCTCTCTCTCCGCCTCTCTTTCTCCTCCTGTCTTTGTTTCTCTCCCCCTTTCTCTCTTGCAAGTATTGTTTAGCTGGCGTCCCGTGTGTGTGCAGGAGTTCGTCGATTGCCGTCAACTGCTCTCATAGTTGTCCGCTCTAGTCCATCATTCACCGCGAGTTGGCCGTTGAAGTGACAGCGACATGATCCAATGGGCAAGGACTTGACCCCAGGTCCAACTTTTGTCTGCCTTCCCAAATCCTCTGCTTTGAATGAGCGCTCATCCTCGCCCTTCTGCTACCACCCCCTCTTGTCTTGTCTGGCACGGGCGCCAATTCTACCGCCGCCGCCGCGGCTTGCTGCTGGGTTGGGACTGTGATGGGCTTGGTATTCATTTTTGGCGGAATCCAGTTGCCGTTCATGTCCACCTCTTTTCAGGTACTGTTGTTGTTGTTGTTGTTGTTCTTGGGCGAGTGGACAAGACGGAGAAGTGCGACCGACGAATATCCTCGCAGTCGGTTCGACCCTGGCCGGCTAGCATGATATGATAGAATAGTGAATCTGGACATGGTATCGAGGGTCGCGCCTGACACACACATGTAGTTGTACGACGCGCTTTGCCATGTTCTTCTTTACACCGACACCTGCCCATCCTTCCTTTGGGGTCACTTCTCACTATGAAGGTGTCGGAATGAGCCCTGCTTTATTTTGACTTGATAGTAGTACGAACAAGCACGACCTGGAACATTAATCGTCCGTGGTTGCCTTTCGGTGACCACCTTAATGGTCTCCCGAAAGAAAGGAAAGTGCCAACTTATTTTGCTCTTGTTGTAGTCTAGCCAGGTGGTGTGCATTAGATGTCGCTGCCGCACCGTTCACGTGGGGCTTCTCCTGTGTAACGTGTTTTTTCTTCTTCCTCGCTTGTGCCATCATTGTCCATCTTGTCGGGGAAATTTGGTCAGGTGGCACCGGGAACGTCGATCGAGGAGCGACCAACGGAGGGAACGGTGCCCCACCCCGGCACTTGGTACGAGGAGGGCATCCTCTACGGCAAGAACTCTACCCTCAACAAATGGTTCTACGGTGTGCTTCTCGAGCACGACTTACCCGGAAAAAGGTAGTACACACAGCAGGATGGGGAAGGTCGCGGTTTCGCATGCAAAGGGTACAAGAGGAGTCCGTACTCCATACCACTCGGCGCTTCGGAGAACAAGTGTGGCAATGTAGGGGTGCTTCCAGCTGTTTTCGCTGTCTCTAGCGCCCTGTCTCTGTGCCTCTGTATCTCCCCCTTCCGAGCTCGCTGCTCTTTCCCGGTTGAAATGTTCCCGCAACATTGGTTTTCTCGTGAGGGCCTAAACCCATCAGCCAACCGGGGGTCAGATTCCACCTGTTTTTGGCGGGTTCAATCCCAAGACGATACCTCACTTTTTCTAACCCCTCCCTCTTCAAGTCTCTCTTGCCTCCACCGCCGTCTCCTGTTCTTGTCATAGTATCCCATGTCTCTGCTTTGATCGGGATCGACGGTTGCGGTGCAGCTCCGCTTGGAAGGGGATCATCAGCGGTCAGTCGGTGGTTGTTGCTTTTTGGGACGAGCAGATAAGTAGCAGATAAGTACGCCCCCTCAGCACCATCTCCCCGCCCTTTGTTTCTGTCGCAGCTACTATGCTGATGCGGTTTCGAGCAATCACGTCCTGTCAGAAACGCACTTCGAAGACTTGCACACGTACCGGTTGGACTGGCAGCCGGGTGGAGGCGATAACAGCTCTAAGGGATACCTCCGGTGGTATCTCGATGACGAGCTCCTTTACGGCATCACCAGTGACACTTTGGTGAGGCATGAGAGGAAAAAAATGTGGGTTGTGTGCGTGTGTTGTGTTTTTTTTTGTCTTACGAAGAACACAGCAATTACATCCATCCTTGCCACGGATAAGAGTTGTTGTGTGTGTGGAGTGCTATTGCGGTGGTTGGTGTCGTGTCGTGTCGTATGTTGCCGTGTCGCTGTTGTTGGTGTTGGTGTTGGTGTTGGTGTTGATCCTGCTGCTGCTGTTGTTACTGATGTTCTCTTCGGATCATTGTTGTTGACGCTGTTGCCTACGCTGTACTGCTGCTGTCTCTGATTGTTATCTTGGGGACGGTGTTCTTGAGACTGTTGTTGATGTTGATACTGCTGCCGCTGCTGCTGTTACGGATGTTGCGATCTGCGCGACGTTGCTGTTGAATGTTAGTGCTGCTGCTGCTGTTGTCCCTGTTTTTGATGCCGATAGCGCTGCTGTTGTTGCTGTTGTGGGGACGTACTAAACCCGATCCCTCTTTTGGCGGAGTTGTCCATGACCCGTCCGGTCTACCGACGAACGTTCGTGGCCGTCGACGGGCACCCATGCACAGCTCTTGTGGAGACCGCGAAATGGGGCCTGACAGCGTGACGATCCCAGTACGTCACCCCCCCCTTATTTCTGTCGGGGCCGACGCAAAAACAACCATGTGCATTCCGTGGTACGCACAACCACGAAGGTAACAATTACCATGGTATTCAACAGAGCACCGTGATATTCAAAAGAGAAGCTTTCACAGGTCGAAGATCCCGCTGGAGCGCATGTACCAACCCCAACCTTACCCCCACCACGAACGTAAACAAGAAGCCGTGATATTTGACAAATACCATGGTATCCAACGAAATGCCGTCGTATTCAACAGGCAAGCTTCCATTAGTCGCAGATCCCGCTGGAGATAATGTACCAAACCGCAACGTAACCCTAACCACGAACGTAAACAAAACACCACGGTACTCAATACCATGGTATTCAACACAATACCATGGTTTCCAACAGGGGAGCTTCCACGGGTCGCAGATCCCGCTGGAGCCCATGTACCTTCTCCTCAACACGGCCGTTTCGACGAACTGGGGCTTCCCCGCCTGCCACACGGAATGCGCTTGCGACTGCTTCGATGCCCGAGACCCGGCGTGCGCGTGCGCTATCGCGCCGGGGTTCGACAGCATGTTCCCGGCGGAGTTCGTGGTCGACAGCGTGAGTATTTTAGACTGTCTCAAAAGTTGTCAAGCCTTTTTATTCGCAGGTATACGTTTTCTGGGCCGCTCTTATGCCGTCGAGCCTCTATCTAGGCAGGTATACCTTATCTGGGTCGCACTTATGCCGTCAAGCCTCTATGTTCGCAAGTACACCTTTTCGGGGTCCCTCTTATTTGGTGGCTTTTGTTGAAGTGCCGGGGTGCGTTCTATTTTTTTGGTTGTTTTATTTTGAAGTGTGTACCCTTTTTGGGGGTAGTTGGCGGTCTACGTCCGGGGAGGAAGGCGTCCGCGTCAGTTGGACCGGTATGGGTGTATGGAGATACTGGGCAGGGATCTGAACCGTTGTTGATGTGAAGACAACAGCAAAAACAAAGCAGTTTCCGCGTGTAGTACACGCCTACGGACTCTCGTTTGTATATTTTTCTCGAGCCATCGCTATCGGAACAATGCTCATTCACTCGCAAGGAGATGCGGCGTACAGTGCTGCTGTCTCTGCATGTGCACTGCGTGAAGGGTCGAGGGTCGGATAATCTTTTCTCAGGAGTCCATGCCACGCTGAACCGGAACTCTGTGCAAGCGAGCCAGTCATTCCTGCGTTGGTGGCAGTTGAGCCCCCTTGGCTGGTCAAAGACATGTTCATCGCTTGTCGCAATCCTCTGTTTTTGATTCTTTGTTCGTGTAACATATGTATCCAGTCCGGAGTTATATGTTTCTTTAATCCGGTGAATGGAGGCTTGAGATATTTCACGCGCCCTGCCGTTGTCCTTTGTTGCTCTTGTGCCTCTCCAAGCTCTTATCAGTGGGTTGCTTCCGGCTGTTGATCCCCCCCCCCCCCAGCTTTCCAATTAATTGTTTTGGATCGCCTTCTTTCGCATGTGATTGAAACTTGTTTTATGGCAACCCTCTCGTCCAGACTCCCCTCTCTAGCGCGTTCTTCTTCCCTCTGACCCAGCCCTTTTTTTCGCTATTTGCGCGCTCACCGCATGTACATGGAATCCCACAAATGGTCCCTTCAGGTACGGGTTTACCAGGCACGCAATGACACCACGCACACCCTCGGCTGCGACACGGAGCAATACCCCACGAAAGACTTCATCAAGGCCAACCACTACCGGTACAAGAGCCCCGACGACGACCACGTGATGCTGTCCGTGCAGAACGGCGGCGGGAATTGCAGGTGTGCTTGTTTTTTCTGGCGTTTGTTTAGGAAGAGAGTAGACCCAAACTCCGCAGGCTTTTTTTTTTTTTCGATTGACATACACTAACCTTGTTTCTTTAATTTTGAGTAGTATAACCAAAACTGAAGTATGAAATGCAAAGCAATCGCCTACGGCGAACAAGCCGAAGACGGGGGTCTGATTTCCCGAGTTTTTCACGACGGGGGGTGGTCGGAGTCGTACTCTCTCTGGCGTTTGCATGCCTTTAGCTGTTGCTAGACCATTGAGCACGAGGACTAAGCACTGTTCCCACTGGACCAATCACCGTTGGCCAATGATTTCTCCCTACTCTGCCATAGGTGGCTCAACACTGCTTTCCCTAGCCCATCTTCTTTCGGTGTGTTTTGATTTCCGATGTGTTTTTTACGACGGGAAGAGGCGTTGCTAGCCAACTTCATACAGGCAGCAACCCCGAATGAGTCTGTTCTGATGTTCTTGGATGCTCCCGTCTTCCATGTTGAGCGAACATGCTTTTCGTTTTTTTCGTGCAGGACAAGCGACGACTGCAACGACAATGAGTGCCACGAGGGGAAAAGATGCAGATGCTCCGACATGTGGACGGGTCCGCAGTGCCTAGCGGCGACGGCGAGCTACGACTACTACTACGATGTGAGTCGTTCGTCCGCTTGGTTGGTCTGTGTTCACGTTGTGTTCCGTTTCGAAGGAATAGTCGATATCTCGTGGTTCAGAGTCGGCGCTAAGACGCCATTGCGTAAACACTGGTATCTGTTTCCTCACCCCTTGTATGTATTACTTTCCGCTCACGAGGTGAGCAGACCATTGCCTTGTATCACTTCTGAGAGATTCATTGTCGCCAAGGTAGTACCCAGAGTTCGCGTCGGTGCAAAAGATGCGGACAGATGGAGGCCTTGTTGCTCTAGCGAGTCTTTAGTGCGCGGCGGCAGAACGTGGTGAAGCAATGATGAATCTTTCTTTGGCACGGTGTAACGGACATGGCTCCGAACGTGCTGGCCAAGCAGGTGCGATCCTTGTGTTGCTGAAATAGAAGACCCGATTCTGGCTGCTCGGACATGGTGGGTCTGAGTAGTAGCCCTGCGTGGTGGGTCTGACTTGACGTCGAAGGTCCGTCTCGGTGCAACCGGTAGCAACGCTGGCGCTACAGCATTATAAGTGAAGTGCAACTGCTGTCGATTCCACCCATTGCCTCGTCGATATTCTGACCACTTCGACCCTCGACTCTCCACTCCCCCCCTCGACCAAACGTGTACCATATTTCTAACTCTATTTACCAAGCGCCGAGTAAATATTGTGTTCGTTCCTCACACGAATTACCAAGTGACACCTAACCCCCCCCGTCCCCCGTCCCTCCCCTCCCTACCCCTGCCGCCCGTTACCCACAGGCCCACGCCCACGACATGTGGCCCATGCAGCCCCCACTGGTGCCACCTACCTTGTCGCGGTTGTTGGCGGTGCTAGCCGCCACGTTTGCGGTGACGCTGTACATGCGATACAACCACCGGCAGAAACGAAGACTGTACGTAAGCTTGGACAACGTCGGTGTAACTGTACCAACCCCAAGCCTATCCTCACAATGAATCCCAAAGGGGGACGGTTAGTGGCAGGAGAGGTTGGGGGTGATGTCACGCGTCCCTAGTAGTGTTGGTGAGTTTGTTCTGTTTCTGTCGTTAGCGTGGACATGTTGGCAGTCTTGACCCCTTTCATTTGGAAGTGGTCCAACGCCTGTCGAATGTTTGTGTGCAGGTTATGAAGTGTGTCCTCGAGAGCGTAAAGGGGGCGATAAACAGTCGTGTCGATGTAGGTTTGAGTACAGGTAGAGTTGGTGAGAGCAGGGCAGGAGAGATGCGGCAAGGCAGCAGCAGAGCGTGTAGTTTTTTTGTCGATGCGGCAACACAGCAGCAGGGATTGGACCTTTCTCGTTGTCGAAGGGGGGGGTCTCCCCACATGTACCGTATTCATCGGTTGTTCCTCACGTCTCACTATTGCACAAGTCGCCGTGTGACTTTCCTCAACAATGCGCTTCATGGCAAAACCCTTCGTAGAATATTCTGTGGCGTCAAAGGTGGTGCATACTGTGCCCTGCTGGAGGCACACGCCTTTCGTCTGTGACAGTGGTACCTGCTTGTTTGACAGTTTTTTTTGTAAGCCTTTGAACTTGGACAATGCTTACTGGAAGGCACTCTTTGTTGCTGTCGAAGTGTCGCGCGGGTTTGTTGCGGATACTTGAAGCCGTAGCTGTCTTGCGATTGATTTGTCCCGTCGCTCGGCGACATTTAGGATAAGTTGGCATTTGGTGTTGCACACGTCAAAGATGGGTTGTTTTTGTCGTGAGTCGTTCTGAGTCCCAGGGAAGCGGATCACCGTTGAGTCCCGCGACATGTTTACGTCAGTCGTTGTTGGTGTCTTATCTTAGTGAAGATCTTCATCTTGCTTGTGGCCTTTTCCCCTGTTGCTCCATTGTTTTCTTCCGATCGATGAAGCGCCTCCTTATAGTCTTCACCGCTAAGAGTCAAGCGCCGTCCCATTCCGCATCGTTATCGTTGACTCGAGTGATGGCTTCGGCAACCTCGACCACCAACGCCGCCGGCGACCCCGCGATGAGATGAAGGGAAGGGCCAGCGGGCAGTCGAGCACAACACCTCGAGAGTTGTCGTTGTTGTCTTCACACTATGAGCCGTTCCGATCTCTTGTCCATTTGTCCGTACTGATTGAGGTGGGTGCAAATGCCAAACAAACGGGGATCATACGCGTCTTCACTCCTATAAAAGGAGCAAAGGCGCCCCGTACTGTCCTTTCAAGCACAGCACTAGCGCGGTGTGGTGCCGGTCATCACTAACGGTGGTCCTCCCACCCACGCCCCGATCCGCCAGAAGATACCCACGATGGTCGTAAGGCGAGCGTGGGCGGTATTTACTGGTAACCTACGAACATGCAGGCGGCCGCTGCAGCAGCGGCTGCCTTCGTTGTCCGGCTCCATAGAGCCGGGCGTGGAGTGGAAGGAGAGGAAGGAACTCGACCTCAACTTCCCGGATGGGGTGGTGGTTGCCACGGTTTTTTGTCGCTGTCTAAGGCCCGTCATGCGGGAACCAATGGACCTATGAACCTATCTGTACAGCAGTACCCATTCGTTCCTCTTCACGCCGGTAACTGCAGTGGTAGTGCATGTAGTGAGGCTCGCCCGGGCAAGCAAGGCCCTGCTCGACATAAATTTTCATTCCCGCCGTTCCGTTGCGGATAGATGTATTCACCCGGGTTGCAGATGTATGTGTGTGCCATTCTGTGCGGTGCGTGTGCGTGTATTGCGGTTGTTGCTCGCAGTGTAAAATGTTGTGAAACGTATGGATTGAGGAAACAGAATACCGTAAACTACGGAGTTTTCCCCCGTGGAGGGGATCGTTTCTTTCTCTGAAACCAACCCCCCCGGGGGGGAAATCGTCGTACCGCGTGGTGTTTTTTTTTCCCAACGCTACCCCCCTCCCGGGAGGTTGTGTAAAGTGTTGATAGTCCACACGCCATCCACACAGCGAGTGGTGAAACTGAGGTGGATAAGGTTGACGAGCAAGCGTTCAACAAGCAGAGGGAGGAGGAAGGTAAGAGCAACAAAGACGAAGAGGAAAAGACAACAAGAGGTACCATTGCCTAAGCTCATGCACAAGAATCCGCAGTTTGTCCGCAGGAATGAGCATTATTTATGCTTCGGTTCTTCATTGAGTTAGTTGTGAAATCCACAAATGAAATCGATTTTTTTTTCCCTTTCTGCGCAAGGTTTCGTCAGTATGCTATATGGTACGTTTCAGCTTACTCCAGGCATGAAAAATGCAAGAAATAGATAAAAAACCGAAAGACTTTCACCCACAAAACAACGGCGAGGGTCACGTGACAGTCGGTATACCTAAATCTCGCTCAAAGCGCAGATCTGCAAGTGAATATTTCGTCCCATATCATGCTTTTTGTGCTCCACGATGCAACAAAATCGACTCAGAAAAAAAGGGAAGTATTCGGGGGCAAAATCGTGCCCCGGGGGGAAATTGACATACTCTTTTTGGGTCGAAAACGATCTACCCCGTGGCTAAACCAACGAACTCATGCTTCCAGGCCGAAACGGTGATGGCGGGGGGGGTACTCTAACCCGGGGGGGAAACTCCGTCGCTTACGGGTATATCGTTCGGGAGAAGAGGACAGAAATTTCTTCGAGGCAGAGTTGGCCGTCTGGTGTTGGAGACATTCCGTCTCCGGTAGAACATGACCGACACAACAGACAGCGATGATGACGTTTCTGCACAGACGACCGAAGGCAGGCAGGCATTGTATCGATTCTGCATCTCGATTCATAAGAGAGAGGAGGAGATGTCGATGTTTCTGTCTTGTTGTCCTTGATGTCCTCTGCCTGGCTTTTTCCGTGCCCGTCCAAAGCATGGTTGAGGATATGGGGGGCTCCTGTGTCTTCAGGCGACGACAATTAACAGCAGTGTCGAGGTACCCCCTAATAGGAGTCCAACTGTGCCCCATAGGGCTTTGGTTGAATTTGGGGCAGCATGTTTTTAATATCCACATCGAGGATGAGGACGAGTGAGGTGTGGTGAGCGGAGATGGCGGGGGGGTGGGGGTGTTGTGACGGGCGGGGGAATATGTATGGTTCATTCTGTAGGTTTAGTCATGGCGCTTTTGGGTACAGTCGTAAAACAAACGTCAAGTCGCGTTTTTGGGTACAGTCAGTCGTAAAACGTCAAGTCGTGTGACGGCAAACCGCGCCAACTAAAGACCGGAAGGAACGGTGTGACCCGGAGCCTCCTCGGTCGTCAATCAATGAACGTTGGCCTCGTATCGAGAATACGAGCCCTAGTTCGCCTTTACTCTACACCTCGAGCTTCAGGAACCGAGCACTTTGAAAATCAGTGGTGTGACGCGTTGTGTCAGAGCGGGACTTGGTGAGCTAAAGCTCTACACGCGGCACAACTCCTTCTTTCTACGGGCGCGTAGGATGCTCCATCAACAGCAGCAATGTCTCTGCAGAACAGCATTCGCGACAACCCCGCATTTGTAGACGGAGATGGCTGGCTTGTTTAGAAGTTGATTGAGCCGATGCTGGCGTTAGCTGTGGGAGTAAATGCAGAATTACATACTCTTTTGAATGCATCATGAGTAGATGTATTTGTCATCCATTTATTACATCGTACAGCACATGAACTCGACACCGCAGCTGTAGACGTTTCGCGAACAACATGGCTGGCACATGGCGAATGAAGCCGCAACGAGCCTTAGACTATATTTCTCAAGGAGTAGGAAAGGGTTAATAGGGGAGCATCCCCAACTCACTCGGTAATGTTGCATGTTGCATGCGGCCAAAGAGTGTCCGCCAGAGCGCTTCAATATGGATAAAGAGGTGTCAGGTAGTTATCGCGGAGGTTTAACCAAATGAAACCTGGGGCCCAGTCACAAGTGTGGCTATGGCGGAGGTTTCCTACAGAAATTGAAACCACGGCTTCGAGTCTCAAGGAAAATAATCACTCGGCTCTCCACCTGCACCGGACTGTCGGCGAAAAGCGGAACATGAGGCGATCACGTCCGTCACTGCACATGCTCTGTGCTGCACGGCTGCATCGACCACGTCGCACACGCGGAGGCGCAGGACACCGTTGAAAATTTCAGCAGCTAAATCATATGCGTATGTTCTCCCTCCGGGAAAAAAGTTTACCATCGCAATTCTCCCACGCCCCTTGTGCCCCCCCACTGCTAACTATCCCCACAATAATCAACCTATTATATCACACTTGGCGCCTTCGTCGTTGTCTTACCCCGCAAGAAACTACGTATCACAAAGCGAAAGTTGCTGAAACGCTAAGAACTACGTACCATGGTTTTGTGTTTCTCTACAAAAAACATATATATGGACACGGAAAAATGAAGTGCAGTCTACATAGACTACCCTTGAGGGAGAGGCCGAGCACGAACGCGTACAAAACTAACACCCCCCGAGAAATTTCGCTGCTCGGGTCGTGCGCTGTGCTGCCTCTCGCATCCCAAATTTCCCAGGAAAGCAACCTTGCCGAAACGAACCAACAGGTTCTCCGGCATGCATGACACTCGCCCGTTCGTTTCTCGGCAATGGACCCCCCTAACCTGCAGTGAAGAACGCCCCCCACGAAACAGACAACGAAATGTAAAGGGTACGTCCTGCTCGCCAACATTTTTGCATGATATCGCCCCGCGGACATGAGCATGACTCCTAAACTCCGCAACATTAGAAACAACAAACGCTCGGTTAAAAGAAAGGCCTGCCTAGGCTCAAACGACATTGCGGGATGGATAAAAACGTCGAACACCACAGCAGAGTGCATGTTTCTTGTTCGGGTCATGGAGAGCTTGTACTCCCTGCCAAAGAAATTGCCAATCCTCCTGTGAGAAAGCAGCAAAACGTTAAGCCATAAGGCGGACTAAACGCAACAACGTTGTTACAGAGTTGTGTGTTGCCGCGAAACGTCGTCTGTCCTGCCCATCTACGCATACACTCGGTTCACACAACCCCTCCACGTTGCCCGAAAGGGGAGCAAGAATCAACCTCCAACTGTTCCATCCATAAAACTCAATTAACTATGATACCCAGGGTGAAGAGAAGAGAAGTCCTTCACCAAGAATAGACAGAGTAGACCACACCGTCCAACAACTTACAAAACAAAGCAGACCGTGTTGAAAGAAAACCCATGCTCAACCAGTTCCATGCTGGTCCAGTCTGGACTGCATGAGAGATAGATTTGCAGGCTTTGCTGACACCAAAACAACCGACAAGCCAAAAGCCCGAACCGGGAATCAAACCGCGATAGCATCTACGCAAGATGTACGTCTTGGCAGAAGACAAGACGGATGGTTCGAGCACCGAAGAGCACCCGTTACACCTTGTCCACTACCACCCCCCTCCCGCAACCACAATACGCACCAAAGCATCCTTTCCCTGGCCTAAGCGGTAGCCGCAGCCCCGCCACCGCTATCCCCGCAAGGGTGCTGCACCCCGCGGGAACCCGACATCGTGCCGTACCCCCGCCGATCTAGCCCGCAACTACGGCTCCCCCCGCCGTCGCCGCCGCCGGGCGTCCTAGGGGTGGACACGACTGCCTGCAAGACAAGGGGCGGCGCTGACGCTGCTGCTGCTGTTGGCGGTGCCGCTGCTGCTGCTGTTGGCGGTGCCGCTGCCGCAGCCGCTGCCGCTGCCGCTGCTGCTGCCGCTGTGACGAAGCCCACGTTGTTGCGGCTATACACGCGGTGGTCGGCGCCGGCGCCGGAGGCGCTCGACGCTGTCACAAGCCCACCCTTGCCGCTCCCGCTGCTCCCGCTGGTGCTGCTGCTGTTGGCGGCTGCTGTTGTGACGAGCCCGGCTCTCTCGCGGCCGCTGGTGCTGCGGACGGTGGTGCTCGTACCGTCGAGGCTCCGCGGTAACGCGGAAGCACCCCTGATGTTGTCGGCAGGCTGGAAAATTGCAGATACGTAAGATGGGCGACGAAAGAGGTTGGACGAGTTGGTGAGCATGATTCAACGTGATCAACACGCAAGTGTCGGTTCCCCTTGGGGCGATGCGACTCGGTAACGGGAACGAGGGGCGGTGGAAGTGTCGCCTCTTGGCATGTAACGCGCAACTCGTTCCTCATGGGCGTGCAACACCCCGCGTGCGACGCCTTTGTTTACGGCTTTGTTCATGCACTCCCATCTCTAACTCCACCTGACAGCACCTACCCATACCGTTCAGGGTTTTTCGTGGTGCACTTCGCCTGAGTAGGTCACTCTCGGCAGCCACACACGACTACAAAATACCTAAGAAAAAACAAAAACAGTTCTCAAAACACTAAAACACGTCGGCAACGCGAGCACAGTACGCACACACCCACAGCAAGGGTGCTGCTGTACGGTCACCACAAACACTCATCACCTGGGAATCGACTTCCGGCAGCTCAGCTTCCATCACGAAGGCATCCTCCCCATCTGAATAGTAGGACGAGGCAACGCCGGCGACCTTGTAGCCGAGGAGCTCTTCGTACAGACGGATTGCCCCGCGGTTCGATTTTCTCACGTGCAGCGACACCTTGTTGGCCCTGTAGTGGTAGTTCATCTGTCGTTTTCGTTTTCAATCCAAATGTGTGTGTGTTGGAAACGTTTGGGATAGGGAAAAGGCTACGCTTAGCCTTAACGCTGCATACTTGACGGACACCAACGTGATACAAGCGACCATGACGGGAATGAACACAACACATCCAAGTGGCGAGCTTGTTGACAAATCATTCCAGCGTTCATGCGAACCTGGGTCTGCGCCTGTAAGCAAACCCAGTGCCTAAAACAACCTTTTGAGGCTGGGACTTGAAGGGCGGGTGGACAACTTCACGAGTCGAACAACTCAAAACAACTTATCGGAAAGGTGATGGTGACAGTCGATTGCATTGATCTAAAATAGTACCAAAGCGTGCAGTAGTGCTTCAATATTCCTGTGGGTGCATGTTGATACCTTGGTGATTGCGCTCTAAAAAGCTTCGGCAGGAATCTCGTTAGGAGCAGCGGCAAGCTTTGGTCAGCAAAACATCCACGCACACCTCCCGACCTACTCATGGGCGGCGGTACAACAGCGACACCGAGGACATCGGAGGCTATGGTCGTACTCGAAACGAGAGCATGGAAAAAAACTAAAGGAAGACCGGGATCACGCACTCATGACACACATCACACCCACGTCACCCCCCCCCAAAACATCACTTTCCGCAACAACTACGGCAACAAAAGCGCAATGCAGCCTTCTCTCACCCGCTCGTGAAGCATGTCCATGAGCTGACTCGCTGCGCCGCACCTCCGGAAGCCGGGCAAGACTGCCAGAGACGTCACGTGCCCCGTCGGTGGAGCTTTCATCATCGCACCTCCCCTGCCGCTCTTCTGAGTTCTACACGACCATCCGGGCAGGGCCGTGTTGGCGTTGGCGTTGGCGTTGGCGTTGTTAATCTCTATCCGTCCGAGGACATAACCGACAACCTGAGGCTGTTGGTCCTCCTGCAAAACCAAAAACGACCGAACGAAAAAAGTTGAGGTTAGGTGGGTGGGAAGGCAGCATGTATGGCAGGCAGAAGGAGCGGAGCTTACTACTAATAAGACACAGATAAAGGACAGTAGCAACAGAGGGATGAGAGAGCGAGCGGTAGATAGAGAGAGGGGGGGGCATGGGGCACTACGCCAAGCTTCGATATTCATTTTGAGAGGGTGGGCAACTGCATCAAGGCGTAATGCGTCAAACGGTTAATATCGAGGACACAAGAACCGGACTTCAGAGTCTAACGTTGAGGGTGGGTGCATGCATGTTGACGTGGTGCATCAAATGGCTTGAGTTGTCAACAGGAGATGTCAAGCTTCAAAATGTCATCCTTGAGGGTGGGCGAATGCATATACCACGACGTAATGCGTCTTATCGATAGAATTCGAGACCGTAAGACACAAAACTTCAAAATTTCACTTGGAGAGGGTGGATGGATTCATGCATCATGACGCAGTGCGTCAAACGGCATGAATCGAGACCGCAAGTCAGAACTAGGCTTCAAATTTTCAATTTGAGAGGGTGGCCGGAATCATGCATCATGACGCAGCGCTTCAAACGGTTTGAGTCGGGAACACAAGACCCGAAAAAGCAAGACGCCAAACCTCGAAACTTTTGATTGACGGCGGAAGCATCATGACATACAGCAGTGCATCGGACGGCTTGAACCGAAAACCGAAAACAACTCACGTTCCGCCGTCGGTCAGCATGCTCCGCCACCAGCGCCAGCTCCGGCCAATCCTTAATATGTGTGTCGTAGAACTGCCAACAAACAACCAAAGAAGGGGATAGATGCAGCAAACGGACCGACAGGTGTTACGCCTTGTGTACGTGATCAGCGTTGATGGATGCTTGGATGTGTACCGCATATGACACAAGATAACACATCCCCTGGACCGATTTTCAACGCTCGATTACTCCACGACGAAGAGGATGCATCAACGAAACCATGCATTTTTGGAAAGCTCTCGACGAGACGGTTTCAACGCCGCCGTTTTCGGCGCCGTGACTCTTTCTGTTGTTGAGAAATCGACATTTGAAAATCGGTCGAGGGGGTGTGTGATCTTGTGTCATTTACGGTACGTGATCGACGTGCGCAAGGAGAATGCAACGCAAGATTGTGCGCTTTCAGCACTACGACCAACGAGGGCTGAAACAACAAAAACACACAACACAAACGCAAACGGATGAAGCTAGCTTTGTCAACTTTAGGGATAACAAGGACAAGTTTTTGATTCAAGCACCACATCGCATTGGCGGATGTACCAGACAATCTGTTTTGGAGGGCTGGTATGCTGTAGGTTGCACAGGACGATGGAAGGACCACTTCAGAACTTCGGGACACCTGGGACAGTGAAAATCTGCTTCAGTATGGCAACAGAATAATCTCCATCAAATGTCAACAGCACCAACAGAAAAACTATTCCAATCACCATCACTGGCACCACCATAACCACCAACAGCACTACTATCCTCTCCCATCACCACGAACACCGAAAGCGCCAGCAACACAACAATCACCTCCACAGTCACCTCCATCGAACACAGCAAACACAACGCCAACCAAGGAACAACAGCAAGCTCGACATGGACATCCTCACTCCACGCTCCTCTCACACAGCAGTCCTCACATCCGTGGAGTAGTTCTCGGGGAGCGTCTCTAAGTTGCAGTGCCGGATGGACTTGATGTCGCTCTTTCTCGCCAGCCGGAAGTCGAAGTCCGACGGTCGAAGAACGTCTTCGCACTTGGCGTTCGAGCTCAGGGCGGACAAGAAGAACAGCCTCGCATTTTCTCGAATTATCTGCGACGGCGGTGGAGGAGGCGATTTCGTTCGACTGGCCGCATCACGATAGTCAGTGCGCATGCCGGGGGTCTTCTGTGGATCGTCCAACGCAGGTTCGCGGAACGTCAAACAGAGGCTTGTGGGACGTCAAACGAAGGGCGACGAAGCACAGAAAAAAAAAGTGTTGGTGGAGGCAGGACCGATGCTTGGGAGGGATGGCGAAACGCAACATACTATTGTTGGTTGCCCCGTCTGGTTGAGAACCTGCTGCTTTACGTACAACCTGTTGCTGCTGACTCCATTGGTATCTGCATCAGGCTTGCGGCGGCCAGTCTGTGGGAACGTTATTTAATTGACGTCTTTTGGTTTCGATACGCTGGGGAAGCTGCTGTGATGAACCTACGCGGGAACAGCAAACGGAGCTGCTGGAAATGGTTTCAAGCTTCCCCTGCTCGGAGGTCTTGCCCTTGACTGCACGTCTAAGACCCCACCACCCACAACCCACCACCCACAACGAGCAAGCCGAGTTGTTGCGGAGAACTCCTGCTGCTGTCGCCTACGTACAAATACTGTTGATTTGTCTTGAACACTTTGCAAAATCCCATATGCGACCACAAGCAGTCGCCAACGGCACCACAGCCGAGGAAACTGCCAGTTGTACTGATGGCAAAAATAATGCAAGAGACCAAGCAGGGCAGCAGGTGTATGTGTCATATTGCGTAATATACCACCCTCCCTCGGTATAGTGCCTGTGCCTCGAAATGGAGCCAAATATCAGTATCTGTCGCAAAAATGGCAGTGGTGCATTCGTTTTGTCGACCGCCAACTGCACACGTTTCGTTTGAAAGTGGAATTCTCCTCGTCGCGAGCGTAATCGAGCCTTTGGTATCGGTCCAGCGGGTGTGGCATTGACAACGCGTTGCTGCTGTACGAAAGCAAATACAAATATGTGTTGAAAATTGGTGTGCTTGATTGTTGATCGCGCTCACAAGCAATCCCACTTACGTGCGACAGGAGCATGCGAGAATACGAGAACTCCATCGCACTCGAGGATCCAATGGAAGCGACTGATAAACCTCCCTCCACCGCAAAGGAACAGCACTTACACATACGGCGCCAAGCATGTGTTCGGCACGCGTGTATACGTCTCGGCTCCGCCCCCTCCCGAACACCCCATTTTCCGTCAACCACTTACCATGCTTGAAACTCTTGCAGCACTCAAAAACGAGAGAATGGCGCCCAACAGTCTACCCGCCGGGGGCGGGCGAGCGTATCTCAATCCTAGGACGTCACCGAGTGTCCTTCGAAGGGGCTGTGCTGGACGTCTTGGCTCCGAAAACAAGCTCAGCACAGGAGTCTTCGAGTGAGCGGAAATCTGGGTTTCCAAAAACCATAAACCGGATATTTCAGGAGGGGGGGCTGTGCATGTCGCCCACCATTCGTCTGTGTCAAGTTTGTAGCTATTTGGTCTGTTTCCCATCTCCTTCTGTCTCCCTGTAGCACCGCCACGCATAGGTAGAACACCTGGAGGTTCGAGCTGTTGGCTTCCTAACGTGGGTGATCGTGAATTTCCATGACCATCAACATACGCAAGGGGGGAAACGGGAATCGAGGCATCTACCCTTGGGTATTGTAGCACAACGAAGGCTAAAAAGCACACGGCTTGCTTCCTGCCAACGAGGATATGGCTTGCTTCCTACCCATGGTACGTGCATGCACCCGCTGCTTTGTCTCCAAGATAATTGCACCAACTTCTACGCTTCCGCTACAGTAGTGGATGGGACGCTCTCTGGGCGGATCGTATTTGTCGGGATTATTTGTTTTCACTTGAACTCTTTGACTTGTGACCAGTTTGGACACGCGGGCAAGAAGATGGGAGGGTGGAAGCAGGAACTACAGCGGCAGCGACAGTAGATTCCCCCCATCAGTGGAAACGGATACCTGTAATGTAGCTGGCTCGGGTGACATTGAGGTAGTACTCCGTGAAGGAAAATGGTGGAGACACAGACCAAACAAACGCAAACAGTTGCGTCTACGCTGATCCGCTGTGGAGCGCACAGAATCATCCGTCAACAACCGACCGTGGGTGCTGCTGCCACGAGTACACAGACACGCCTCTGCTCTGTACTACATGTACACCGAAACACTTGATAACAAACAACGAACAAGGTTTCGCAGACTACTGAAAAAACATACAGGTACCATGGTTTTATGCAGGACAGTCGAAGGATCGCCATCTAGCCCAATAACTCCTCTATGTTGTTTAGTGTACCCATACGTCGAGCAAACAAGCAGACCCCCGCCCATGGACACAAACCTTCACGCAAAACCGCTGGTGGTCTGTAACAAAGCCGTAGTACGACCCCGCCTCCTACCCCAAGGCACACACACTCGCCGCTTTCTGGTGGAGCTTGTGGGCAGCAAGCGCAAGATGCGCTTTCAGCAGAGTACATGTTTGTCTTTTTCGTGGATCGCCTCACAAACCGAGATTTAGCAGCGCTACCATGCAGTATACCGCGACAAAAAAAAAAACGGTCGTGCTCGTGTCCATGTCCCTCTGGCAAATCAACCATCTGCACTGACAGCGACCACTAAAAGAATCGGGGGCCAGCAAACATACCGGCAGCAATTCATTCATCCTTTGGCTGACCTACTTGCCCCTGACAATACGGAATCACCATCACAGATTGCAATGTCTCCTGCTTCACAGAAAATTGAGATCCATACTATGGACCTCCTGCGGCAGTTAGTGGTGGCAAACAGGCCACGATGGTAGAACGCGATCTTCCGTCTTTCCAAGCCAAAACCCAACAAACACAATTGGATGGCGAATTAACAGAAAGGACCAAGTCCAGTTACATAGTTACATGGAACCTTCACCGTGAACTACGACATGTACTTCACCAAAAAGTCAGCGCCGGACACGAACGGGTGTTTTCCTCGCCAGTTGCAGGTTACACTGCCATCTCTGACGGAATCCCTCCTCGTCAGACAAGCGAAAAATATTGCGGCTGCTGCTGCTTCTGCTTCTGCTTCTACCGCTGCTACTGGTTATGTTTCTCCTAGCTGAAGGCCCAACCCGCCCGAAACGTATGCGTATTTGATAAGGGCGAACCTTTGCAATCGACCGAAAGAAAGCAGAGCCAAGGGACACCAAGAACACAAAAAATAAAAAGGAACGACAACGGAGGGGGGAGAAACCAAGACGTTGCACGAGACCTTTTGATTTTTCGAACCTAGAGGACGCACCTACCCACACACGATCCCGTAAACACTACCTTCCCACTCTTCGCTCCAAGGGCAACTCGGATCCCCACACCCCGCCCGTCCCCATCAGTACATGTACATGGTGCTCACGACCTCTCCCATCTACGACTATGCCTGAAACTCTACAACAATTCACGAAATATTGCCGTGGGTATCTCAGTTAACATGCATCAGGCACACTTGATGATCGAACAAAGCGGGACCTCTACCCAATGTCGACGCTCTTCAGCAAGGCATGGTAACGTTCCTTGGCCAGTGCCGCAATCAAAAGGGGCCAAACATGGCTCATGAGTGAACCTAACGGAAGGGCACATGATGCGAGGGTTACACGTTGCTGGAAGGGGGTCCAAACCAAAACGCAACCAAAACGCCCATGCACCCATACATGCACGTGGCGTGCCACTACATACATGCACACGACCAACCAAACCGCAGGTGAATCTTAGGAACGTTCCGAAAAACATCACACCCCACAAATGGCCGACATCTGCACCATGAGAGCTTGACCGAAAATCCCAGTCAGTCAAGCCAGTCAGTTGTTGATTCCCGGTGGGTGCCCTGCACAACCACATCATCGCCCAGCACAGCACCTGGTCTTCATCCGCATCATTGCCCGCCACTATGGAAGCCATTCAAGACATGGATCTCCCCCACTATGCACACCCAGAACACCACCACAGCTACATTAACGAACGCGCGAGGAACGACTCCAATCGCGCACTCCCCTTCGACGAGCTCCCCACCCCGTCCACCCCGCCGCGTCCCTGCTGTCGCTCGGCGGCAGCGGCGGCAGCAGCAGCGGGGTCTTTCTCGCCCGTGCCCGCCATTCTCGACAGCGTCTGAGCCACCTCGGAGGGGTCGTTGACGTAGAAGTTTGCGTGGGTGGGCTTCTTCCCCACCATGCACGTGTAGAGGCGGATGTTGTCCATCTCGGCCTGTGTCATCTCGTCGTTCGACCTGGAATAACAAGATCATGGCCGGGCACCGGGGTACCAACATTATCATTGATTGCTCGTTGAATCGTCTACTATTGATCCGCACAGACAGATGGAGGCCCTGCAAAGAGAGATCGGAACGCGGTTTTCTATGTGAACACGACAACAACGACCGACACTCCCGAAGGAAAGCAAGCGGGGAGGGAAGAGAAGGAAGCGGGGTCAGGGGCTGGTTCAGCCTCCACAAGTAGTACTACGACCACCGGGGGGAGGTCGTTGCATCCCACGGAGCTCCCCGTGGAGGAAGGCGGCGGCGGTCGCGGCTTGGAGGAGGGACGCAAGGCGCTGTACAACATCGATCACCACGATTTTTACGGGACGGAGCACCGCAACCTGTGACACCGTCTAGTCCAACAGAGAAAACTCCAACACTCAGACCATCTTCACCCTACTACTGTACCACATACGTAGCACACAACACCAGTAGCCCGTCATTGACAACGAAGTGCACGCAGAGTATGAAGGACGTTTCCTTGCTTTGGGGGGAATACAGCATATTGGCAACACCCTTTTGCATCCAGCAGTGACTCCTTGGGTCAAGTCTCTGTGGGGACGTTTTCCGTCACCCGCGCTTTCGGCCTTCATCGTAGGTGACGTGACGCAAGATAGCACAGTCCCTGGACTGATTCCCAAAGCTCGACTATTCCATGGTCTCGTCATTCTTCGACATCTTAGTCCTCAATATGCTTGTCGTCACCGGCACTTTCGGCGCCTATCAAAAATGGTCAATATCGGTCTTCAACATCTCATCTTTGTCCTCAACATCTCATCTTCGTCCTCAACATCTTAACTTTGTCGTGAACATCTCATCTTAATCTTCAACATGTTGTCGTAGTCCTCAACATCTTAAATTTGGGTAGGTTTAGGCTATTTGTCGTTCTCTCTCGACGGTGGCTCGACCATAACGTACGCACCCCGTCTGGTCTCCCGCCTGCGCCAAGAAGGAGTAAACCGCCGAGAACATCTGCTCGTCGCTGGCATCGTCCCCCACACAGAACACGAAGTCCGGGTTGCAACCGCGCCTCTCCTTCTGTGTCCTGAGGATGGTGCTCACGACCACGCCCTTGTGCAGACGCTTCGGCACCACCTGTGCAAAAGGACGGGTTGAATGAGCCGAATTTGTGGCATGGTGCTCAAGGCTGCTTCGAAGAGCAGACGGTACTGATAGCGTACAGATCCTTCGGTCGAAAATATGAATGAACCGACTCTGTTGATGTCGATAGACTACACGTGGGCGGAGGTATTTGTTGGCAGGGTGACATCATATGAATGCCAAAAACGCATCATACCCTAATTCTAACCCAGTCGCGGCATCTCGAGGCGTGGCAGGCGGGCGGTTAGGTTTGTCCAGCCGTTCACATTGTCCTCGTTGTGTCCAGACCATTGTCACAAGAGACATAAACCGGCAACGCGAAAACGCAAAGTTGGACACTTTTCGACGCTCACCTCGAGCGAGCCCCTAAGGTGCTGGACCTTGACGTCGTACGCCGACAGTGCCACCTGCCGACAACCAAGACCACCAAAACACGTGAACAGAACAGCCGCACAAGACAAGACAGTTGAGGGGCAGTTTGGTGTAGACACATCATCCATCGAGGTCATCGCAGACAAGCCAATCAATAGTACAAAATGAAGATGGCGGCAAGGTTGGCTCATCACCACCACCAACGACAACGGCCGCAGCCACTGCAGTACAGGGAAAATGTGAAAATCGAGTAGGCATCGAAGGAGCGAGCAGTTTACGCATGCATACACCTCCAAGCTTTCCGCAAGAAGCTGGCTGCTAATCCTGCGACGTAAACTGTACTGCAGAGGTCGGCAAGGTAGCACACTTAAGGTCGGTCTCAACACCAACACAACAAGGAGGGCGAAGAAAAGACGACCGCCGCTTCTCACTCACAAGTTACCGCTTGTCTGATTCCAAACAAACCGCGGACTGGAGATCCACACAAAACAAAACTGAT